ATGTTAGTATCTGTTCAGATGTATGTATTTTGAATAAAATAATTTGTAAACATATTGGAATGACTGTGAAAGAAATAATCAAATAATGTTAGCTGTAAGGCTGTATCCACATTGGAATCCAAATTTGGAGGATTTTGTCATTCTCTTTCCTTCAAACATATTCATTATCGGACACACACACAACACACATACACACACACACACACACAAAATGTTGCTCTTCCATCTGTTTGCCTTTGCAGCATTAGTTCTCTTTATCAACATTTCATACCTCCTCTTTACCACTAGGTGGAGCCCTTTGTTTATGGACATCTGTCCATTTCCTTTTTCTCAAAGATGCTACCAGATAAATAGCTCCAGAGCTAAAATACTGTTGCAAACACGAAAATTTAACACACAGAGATAAAAAAAAGTAAAGCTTTTCAGGCATTGGTATAATAAACCTTGCTTTGAGTCCTATTGCTACTAGATTTAATGGCTTACATATTTTCCTATTTACAACTCCTGCACACCAAACAGCAGAAAATAATATTGTTGCGTGTGCCATAAACAGTGTTGCTGCAGGTCTATTTTATGTAGTACTATCATTTTTATAATCGCAAATGTTTGGCAACTTCAGTCAAAAAAAAAAAAAAAAAAAAAAAAAAAAAAAAAAAAAAAAAACCTAACCAAATACTATATGCTGTAAGCTTCAGTTGTCTTCAGTCTTAAAAATATATACCTCATTGAGAAGAAAATGTTTTTCTTCAGACAAAAGAGAGTGGTAATTCAGCTGTAATAGACAACAATGTAAAAATCTTCTCTTAGTCAAATTCATCTCTCCTCAATTTGAGATTCAGTTAACGGTACGTCAAAATCCATTTTAGCTTTGATTATATTTAGGAGCTAATTAAAACTGAATATTATTAGCACAGCCACATTGCTCAATTATTTTCATATTCTTATTTTAAGAATTTAATCAAAGCTCTTCTCATGAACAAAAAGCAATAATATTTTTAAAATTGGAACCCCAATTTGCATGTGCAAATAACTGTAGAATGAGCTCACCTAAACTATCTTGCCAGTGACCGCAACTTTGATCTGGAAAGATCGTTTATGCACAAGTAAAACATTCACATTCTCTATGCTAATTCTGTGTTGGATCCTTTCTCAAGGTAGTTTACTTATGGCAACGTTGGAAGGTCTTTTAATAACATACGTATTTTCTAACACCACTGAATTATATATTTAACTGGAATATCATTTCTGTTCCATTTTTTATTTTAATCAGGATTTGCTCCCTTTGTACTTATATATGTAAAATTTTGGTTAAGCATCTGCAAAGCAGTGAGTGGAAGAAGATTTGTGTACATGGTTTATTTAGTCAGTCTCCCAGCCTGAGAAATCTGGCTTTTCTATCGGTATACAAACTGGTTCTTCAATCAGAGGCTGAATGTGAAGGAGTCCTTATACAACAAAATGCTGGAACCACCATTTTGCCGTCTGCTCGCATACAATAAAATGGTGGCACAGAAAACAGTTAACACATTGTGCCCACGAGAGTTGTCTGAAAGTATTCTACTCTCTAATCCAGATATCAAGCCACTTTTAAAAATACTGTTACCAAGTGGCTAGACGTATTTGCTTATGTGTGTAATGCACGTGTGTGTGTGTGTGGTGTGTATGAGATGCCAGAAGAATTGGATGTGTACATTTGATGAAAGGATAGAAAGAACTAGTCAAAAATTAACACTCAAGCTGAGAGTGAAAGCAAACCTACGTAAAAGCACAGGTCCTGCAAATTGCTTCTAACAGTTTACAAAAGCTGTATAGTGAATTTGGCCTTGATAACTCCTTTCATTTTAGCATTCACTGAAAGCAACTTTGAGCTAGGAAATTTAAGGGAGTTGGTATTCTTTTTATTTCTTTTTCTTTCCTAATGTCCTGTATAAATTAAAAGCAAGCCTCCAGTAGACTCTCACCTGGAAACTCCACGGTCTTGCTTTTTACAGAGGGGAAGGAAAACCGAGAACCACTCTTTCTTTCCTATTTTACTTCTACTCTTATTTTTGTCATTACAAATGCTGCCTTGGCTCTTTTAAAGTGTGAAAATTCTCATTTTTCTGCAGTACTTCAGACTCATGCAGACTCCTTGGGGATACAGTGAGGAGCTAACCAACTGCACATGGGAAATGGGACTGTTCGTGGTTAGAAAAACTGCAGTCTTTGGTAATTTTCCACATGGAGTAGAAATCATAAATGACTTTTTTCTTTTACGTATAATGACTTTACTTGAGCAGTTGGTATAGAGTTGTAGGCTCAGGTTTGAACATGTGAATGCACTAATGTGTTTTACAAAATTTAATTTGACTTCTTTCTATAAACATTTTCACTATTTTCAAGTGCATAATAAATAGGTTAAAACAGGACACCCTCCCTCTGTGATAACCCCACTTCCAGACAGAATTATAAAAGGCTACTGTCTGTAAATGAGAAATAGCCCTGTAAGACCCACTAGCAGGTTATGCAATATGTGACATAGACCACCAGGGGCTGAACTGAAACCACTAATACTTTTTTCATAGCATCATTAGCTAGAGTTAAACAAGGTGTCAAGGTGGAAAGATGGGGAGGTTAACCTGGCTCATTATACTTGCATGCCTTCATTTTAATTATTTTTTGCACAAAAATTAAACACTAATATTCAATTTTATGATTTAAATGTGTTACCCAAATACAGTACCTTTTATCTTTTTAAACGATTAATGCATTATTTTGTGATTATTATCTAAACTTGATTTTCAATAAATACTAAAATTTTCTTAACAAAAATGCAATTTAAATTTAAGGCTAAGGAGAGGTTATTAGTAAAAATTTTCCCTGTTGTATTTCATGAGATAAAATTGACTTTCTATTTTTGAAATTTAGATCTTAAATCAAAATCTGCCTCCAACCAAGATGAGTGGGCCCAGGGCTCATGGAGTGAGTTTGCATGCATTCTTGACCTCATGTTGACAGTCATCGGGAAAAAATATGTTCTCTTTATAATAGCTGCTTTACAATTTGGGACATTGCTAGGTTTTTACATGCATTAATATTAGTTGCCCCATGTACCTTAAATAAAGCCAACTCAATAAATTTAGGATTGTGACTGAGAAATAAATGCCATGTCAGTAAATTTCAACCAGATACCAGAAGAAGGATTATGTGATTGTTTAGTCCAAAAATTAAGTTTCATGTCTTTAATTGGTGTCATATCCTGTCCTAAGTATGTAGTGCTTAAATCAAAGGCAACCACATTAACCTGGAGAGGAAACATAATAACAACTCCTTTCATCCCCTGCCTCAAATGTTTGTATGCTCAACCCTAATTTTTGTTAAAACACTTTCAGGCAAAGACAACAGGAAATAGTAAACATGGCAACACCGTGAAAATAATTTTCGGATGCACTATTTCTCTCCATGTTCAAAGAATTAGTTGTACAGGCTGTGGAGGAAACTGATGTATCATTAAACCCAGTGCGGACAAAAACAGCCACCCTTCCAGCAAAATTGATACTTCTGTTCATTTTATAAATCTTGGTTCTAGCCAGACCGAAGCCGGGAATTAACTCGGTCTCTCACACCAATGGCCTGAAACGGTGGTGCATCACGGTAATACATTCAAAGGGAATCAGGAGTATCTAACAACAACTTTAGGAGCAGGAATGCAATTGTAACTGACAGCCAGATGTCTGGTCGGGCTGCTGCAACTACCTATCAAGACTGCAGATGGTCTTGAGATCTTTGCATCTAAACAGCAAGTCCAAGTGAATGATATACAGATAAACAACAATACCGCAAATCATCAACACAGACCAAAAAAATCGCTGTGACCGATAAAGATTTCAGATGTCAAGAGTTAGCCAGCTTAACTCCTTACTCTCCCCTTTCTCTCCTATCCAAACAAAAAGCATGATAGTGGTTGAGGGCCCAGCAGGAAATGTTTGGACACCCAGTGCCAAACGCTAGTCCTTCACTAAAGCCTTCAATATACTTTAATGTTTAGATTACAGAGGCAAAAAAGGCTCCAGTAGAAATTACTTTACATGTGGGATATTAATAATTTGGCTAACTCTATGTTACATTTATTGTACTTCCTCTTTACCTTAGAAGAGTACAGTAAAATTCAAAGAGAAAGAAAATTTAATTACCATTAAACCAATGATCGGCATAAAGCTTTTTGTTCCTCGAATATGTGTTTCAAAAAAAATTTGATGTTATTCTAGTAGATTAGATAGTGTTTTTTAGCCTAGCTAAATACACATATTTCTTCATTTTCATAGATTCCATATTATCTTGAAATACTTTTCTTTTATATACCAGATTTGACATGAATTTGGACTTCATAAACTACTACAAGTATCAAGCCATTCTAATCCAAATGTGGATAAAGAATTTGGGGGAAAAACTTAGTAAAAATGTCTTATTTTGTAAAGCAGTTTGAAATTTTAATTGATTTTATGGTATTAAACAGTTGCAAAAATAATAGAATTATATTCAACCTATGTATTCTTTTAGTGAGCATGGGTGGGTATTTCAGTACCATCAACCATTTTGCAGTTTTCATGAGGTCTCTTCAAGTAAGTAAAAATTATGCCCTTTCAAGCAAACTCTTTTTAGTGAAGTTAATCCAAAGGTTCCTAGATTAAATATTTCAAATACATTTCACTTATGTGACATTCTTCTCCAGGGCTCCAGTGTACCCTCCTATTGTTGCCAGTTCCAAACCCATTTTGAGGTCTCAGCTTTTTCCATGAGAATATCAAAACTGGAGGCCTTTCAAAGTAGCTGCTGTGAACACAGAGGCCCCACAGCCAGGCTGACAGTCCCTCCAGTTGCTCTCAGAGACTTGCCTCACGTGGATACACAGAGCAATTCTCCAGACACAGACGCATCTGATGTCCTTTCCCGAAAATATCATTTCCAGAAAAGATGCTGACCAAGAAGAAACAGCAGGGGTGAGAGAGTGGCCAAAGCACTTGAAACATCTTAACAAGCACTAATTAAATGTCGTGCTTAAAAAATATGGCTTAAGAAAGCCAAATACAATAACTTCTTACAGATGGTTTTAGGAACTAACAAGACCTGTAGGAAATGGCGCATTAAGATTAGTGTCCCCGAAGTCTCTTACAACCATTAGTGACTGAAGGTGCTGTGCACTTTAGAAGGAAATAATCAGAATTTGCCTGATGTGAAGCTGTTTGTTTTTTTTTCTCATTTCTCTCTGAAGGGAACTGCGCATCTGTCAGTGCATTACACAGTCAATATTGACACGGCCAGCCAATGGAATATAAAAGGAGCATTAGCAGCCTTGAAATCTATTTTTTTCTGAAGGGGTGCAAAGCCATCCTGAAAAACAATTGTGAGTATCAAGAAGGCAGGGACTGTGCTTCATCATATATGTATGACAATGCCAATATCGTGGGCATTTTGTAACTGTTCACTTATTTATTGAACAAATATTCCTTCAGTGGTTACCCTCTGCTGGCTATGGACTATGATTTGGAGATAAAGTAGACAGATACGGTATCTATCTTTCCGAGTGTGGAAGCTGTGTAAGGTTATTTGCTGGAGATGGATGAATGGATGGATGGGAAAATGTGTGCTGGGGGAAAAAATGTATTTCTCAGACACAGGTCTGGTGGTCTAGTCTGATATTCCTTTAGGATGCAACCCTTGGTCTGAGCACATTGAAAGAAATATAGAGGCAGATTCGCCAGGTGAGATGGCTCAAGACAAACCCAGTGGCAGTAATTAGTCCCAACATGAGCCTGAAACTAGGTGCTAGTATGGAAGTCTGAGCTTCTAATGAAGGGGCTTTGAAGTTAAGTGAGGTTTCCCACGATCTTAGAACCCATATGACATCATTGTTAGTATGAGCTTTCTTGGTAGAATCTGGAAGAAGAGCCTCTGGTAATAAAGGAAAATATAGGCCTAATATTTAAACATTTTTAAACCCAAAGCATAACTAAAAGATTGAAGGGTGTATATATATATCTATTGTTAAGAAGACACCTGTTGTTTCCAGTTGCTTGTATATTACCCCTTGGGAAGATGTGACTTAGCGGCCCAAACTGCCTTTCACACTAGCAGGCTTCTTGATCTCTTTACTGTTATTTGTCTGTCTTAATTCTACTCCCATTTGCCATGTATTCGACTGTTTAATACTAGTATTCTACACCTTGTCTATACCCATGATGCAAATTGGGGTTCAGCCCTCAAAGGATTGTTAGAAGCAGGTAAGACTCAATGGAGGGGAGACTGGAGACTGTCAAACCTGCACTCTCCAGAGCAGCCGGCAGAGCGCTTTGGGGCTAGAAGGAGCTCTGGGTGGGGGTTCTGTCACAGAAGCTCTGTCGGGTCAAGCTGGTCGGTTGGAAATAATGAGTCAATCTAGCCAGGCCATCAGGGAGGTGTGAGGAGACATTCAGCAAAAAAAAAAAAAAAAAAAAAAAAACTTCTGCCAACTTGGGTGTTTTCCATAAAAGAACTAGTTAACTAGATTTTCCTTTTCTAGCTGGTTGCTTTGCAGTATAATGAAAAGGAATTTCCAAATGACTGGGTTGATGGGCTAGCCATCCCTGACCCCACACAACCACCTGTGCCACATCACTCCTGGCTATCAAAACCACATACCAACTGCCACCACCTACCCCATTCAAAACAAAATCCTCATTAGAATCAACAAGAGAACATAAACTTGCTTTGGAGGTGGTGGTATTGTTCATTTCATACATTCACTCACTAAACATTCACTATGAAACTCTTCGGTGTCATCTACTGAATAACTCTACACATGCAAATTGGTAGGGAAAAAAAGCTGCTGAAGGAACTCCTAAGGAAAAAAATTATCAAAGTTATAGCATTACAAATACGAGTTACAGCCTTGGGAGAATCCAAAACCTAAAGAAAACAAGGCTATTTTCCTCTAATGTCCTGGATGAGGACAGAGTGTTTCAGGTAATGCTGCTGCTGAAGATGATGAGCTGATGTGGATGCTAGCGCTGCCATTCACATGGTGAGGGCTCACTGCATGCCTGGCACTGTACATAATACATTGGTTATTTCATTGCTGTAACAAACCTATTAAATTGGACTCATTATTCCCATTTTACAGATAAGAAAACTGAGGCCCAAAGAGGCTAAGTAGCATCTAGTACTAGTGACATCTAGTAAATGGAGGAATCCAGATTGAACTTCACAGTCATTTTGCTCCAAAGCCCATAGCATTTTGCCTTCTTTTTAATTTGGTTGACTTGCTTTTGGTTGAGGCCATGTAATATCCAAGTCAAAATCTAAGTGATTTTCACTCACACATGTGAGAACTGGGTGAATGTTTTTGAAGCTAGGTCTGGAAGACGATTAAGATGACCTGTTAAATGCATACTTAAATGCAACATTCCCACATATTGTCTGAATCTTAGTAATATTTCGTGGGTTCCAAATCTCATTCTTTGTGTTCCCTTTTATATCAGACCTCTCCAAAGAGGTGCCACAGATGTAATGTTGCAGGTCCCAAAGGTGTTGCCCTTCATGTCCAGATGGCACAGCACTGCCCCAAAGCTGGCCCCTTGGCAGCTGTGACAGGCAAGGAGCAACCCCCACATGTGCAGCTTAGCAGGATGCCACCCAGAGGTCTGAGACACGGTCAGGGAAGAAGAACGGAGGAGAAAAGAAGAGAAGGTGAGGGAAGCATAGACAAGAAAGCAAGGGAGAGAGAGGGAGAGAAAACTGCAAACAGCCATCTGCCACTGCCTCCCAACTGGCCTCTCCAACCACAGGCCAGCCTCCTTCCAAGTTCCTCAGCATAGAGCTGCGTTCAGAAAGAAGCAAATGAGGGATGTGGAGTCAGAAGACCTGGAAGTCTGGACTTGTCATCTGAAATGTTTGAACTCAGGCAAGCCAAGAACCTCTCTGGGTCTCAGTTTCCTCATCTGTAAAAATGAAATAAGGATAAGGTCCATTTCACCAAATATTGAACACCTAATGAGATCATGTATTTTTAACCGCTTTATTGAGTTGTAATGGACATATAATAAACTGTACATGTTAAGCGATGATGCATTTGAAAAGAAGCATTTGTAAACCATAAAACTTTCATCTCTACCAGGCTCAGAATCCCACAGTAGCTCCCTAATTTCTTTAAGCCATTTTCTGTCTGGTTTTTAGGAGTCTTCATAACCGGTCTGCACCTTACCCAGCCACCTCATTTCTCACCATTTTCCACTACAGACTCTGATAACAATGAGGCCAGCCTTCTTCATTCAGCATTCTCTCCACTGGTTTTGCCCTGGAACACCAACAATGACCACCAAGCCCCTCTGCTCATCTTCAGCATCTTCATTCTCCTGCATTTGTTCAGCCATTGAACACTGAACACTCTGACAAATACTGTCCTATGTACTGGGGATGCTTCTGGGAGCAAGAAAGAGAAGTTCACTGCCATCAAGGACCCTCTGAGAGAGCTCCTGACAGTAAACAGGGTGTTCCCTGCCAGCATCCTCCTCCCTATGTGAATCCTCCAGCTCTGATGCTCTCTCCTCTGTGAAGTCTCTTTTAATTACCATTAACTCATTATCTTCTCTCTCTTTTTTCCTACAGCTTGTGGGCTGTTTCATATAATTTAAGGTATGATTTTATTTTTTAAAATTTTCACCTAAAAAGCACCACCCAGGAAACTGTTTTTTTTTTTTTTTTTTTCCATACTCTTATAACCCAGAGTAGACATCAAATGCTTGTTGATTTCAGAAGAGCACATCAGAAAAGCTGGGCATGTGTGAGAAACTCTCCCAGGAAACAGAACCCACCATTGCCCCTCAGTGGCACCTATATGGTGGGCTGGTCGGCCCTGCTGGGAGGGCGGCACTAGCAAGGACAGTCTGATTCACGGCTTGTCCAAAGCCAACCGCAGGGGAAGCCATGCTCAAGGACATCTTCCTGCTGCCGGCAAAAGACGAGTGTCTCCTAGCAACCGGCTTCCAGTGGCTTCCTGTCCTGGGAGCCTCCCTGCGCTCACAGCTTTACATCCTGGGGTTTTGTATTTTGGCCTTGCTAATCACTGTGTTTATTCTAGGTTCTGAAAATTGAGGAATAAATGCAGGTTAGCTGCTGACATTCAAGCGGAGACACCATTTTATTCATAACCTCCTTTCAGCAACCACTCATGACTTTCATGGAATAGAATGTTTGATCTTAGTGTAAAAAGGGTAAATATATTTTTTAAAGATTTCATTTATATCAAGGCAGTTGGTTTGAAAGATACATAAAAAAGGAAAAGCACACATTCTTTCCATCGAATAATCAAAAAGTACTCAGACCTTTTCAAAACAGATACACTATCATTCAAAACCTGTTACAGCAATAAACTCTAACTTGGCAAGTTCACAGATGCAGAAGGAAAGGCAAGGCAAATTGGAAGAAAATGGTTCAAAGGTCCTTAAAAGTTTTGGTGGCTTAAAATTATGTCTGCTGCAATATGGATTGAGCATTTATTTCCTCCATGTTCTTCCTAGAGAGTCTAACCTTAGTTTCAAGGTATATAGTGCTACATTTTTATTTTTGTGGGATTGAACTCCGCAGTTGATGTTGCTTTTTAACATTTTCTCTTGTTTTTATCAAATATTCATCAAGACACAAATTCCTCATCTGTTAAAAAAATTAATCAGACTTCCCACAGTGAAGAGCTCAAGTATATCCTTTATTCAATAAGTATATCCTTTATTCAAAAAACCCATAAATGTAAGTTAAAGGTATGATTACTTGTCTCTTTCAATAAGAAAACTCAAAGACTTAAGGTGAGTTGAGTGCCCAGAGTTAAATATATGAGAGGGCTGGTAAACCCCAGAACTCTTTTCCAGCAAAGCCACCAAAGCCTGGTACTGCCCGGGGTTCCCTGAGCAGCAAGTTGAGGTTTGGAGTCTGCTACTGCTGTATTTAGGCAGTGAGCTTGGTCTCTGCAGACTTGTGAGTTCTTTGGAGGTATCCCTCAGTTCCTCCCCCCATTTCCCTCCCCCTGTCCCAGCAATACAGCCACAAAGTCATGAGTCCAAGATTAATTCTAACTGTTTTGGCCATAGTAGACCCTCTATAAACCTAAGAATGACTTCTGCCTTCTCAGGGATAGTATAGGATTTACCAGGTAGCACCAGTGACTTCCAACTTTTCAGCATCTACTTTTGAAATTTATCCATGGATGGAGTTTTTAATAGGGGGTGTTGCACATCCCTTAGAATAACTCACAGGCTTCTTAGCTTCCTCTTTTGGGTTCTGTACATATTTGTTTCAGGGGTACAAAATGAATCACATGGCTACAGCAGGGCACTCCTGAATGACTCTTGCTTATTCATTAAAGAAACTTGTACATGAATCAAGGCTTTCCTTATGGTCTCAGGCTGTTCTTCATTCCCTGAAATGGTCAGAACACCCATCAAGCATCTTGGAAGAATGCATATCTTTAAAGGCCATAAAGAAAGAATGTTTGGTTAAAATGAAAAACTGCTCTGCCACCCACTCGTCTGAGTTCTCCTTTCTTCATCTTTAATCAATATGTAAATCTGTTCACTTGATGTTTTAATACAAGTTGAGGTAAATTCAGCTTCATCATGTTTCTCCACAGAGAGGAAAAAGTAACCCTGACTCTTCCTCTGGCCCTTTTCAAATATCTACATGCAGTGGTGGAATGAGCTGAGGACATGAAAGGCCCTGGGAGGCAGGCCTGTGTCTTACCCTGCTGGGCCTAGTATTCCAACCACCACACAAGACTAATTCAAGAATAACAGGCATGGGTCCCAACCTTAATCATTTCTATTTTCATTATGGTTTACACATTAATTGTAAATGACCAGATTGATTAGGGACTCTTTTAAAAAGCCAGACAGATTGGGAGGCAGTGCAGGATAGCATTAACTGTATAGGTTTGACATTTCCATAGACCTGGACTAAGCATCCAGACTTGTCATTTACTAGCTGTGTGACCTTGGGAAAGTCACTAGGCTTCTCTGGGCCTCATATTTTCCTTAACTATAAAATAGGGATTGTAACTACCTGTATGAAAATCAGTGTGAGAATAAAATGAAACAATGTATGCAAAAGATTTTGCATGGTGCCTGTAACTACCGTTTATTGAATAAAAGATTGTAATACATACTGCTTTGATATGTGTGGCATATTAACTGTCTTATCAATTGTCTATTACTTATGTACAAAGCACTGCGGTGAGTGCTATAGAGACCCCTCAAAATTTTGGATGCTCTCTTTTCTTAAAAGCTTTATAACCTGATTACTAATCAAGGAGACAACACAGAAATCCATAGAAAAAGTAAAGTTACAGTTGGATAAAACTTCTCTTGGAGTGCTGCCCACTCTCAGTAGTCAAGTTCACACCGGAGGCTGACAGTGCTTCAGTTACTGTTTCATGGGTCACACCTGAACCAACTAGGGCAGTCAGTGAAATAACATTCAACATTCATCCAACAAATATTGATTGACCTACTGTGTGCCAGGCACTGTGCCAGGTGATGGAGATGTCAGTCTTCCTGGAGTTTAAGAAGCACTTAGGGTCTGTTTTAAGCATCTCATATGAATTAACTCTTTTAACTTTTCAACAAAACTAAGAGGGGGCTACTAGCATCAGTCTCATTCCACAGATGAAAAAACTAATCGCAGAGAGGTTACGTAACTTGTCCAGGGACACACAGTAATAGACAGCAGAACTGGATTGGAAACAAGCAAAGCGGTTCTAGGGTCTGCCCTGGTATCACCAATACCTTACTGCTTTGTAACAGCACCTTTTCTTATGAGGAGACCATTGCATGCCTCTGGGGTGGTTCCTTTACTCCTGTTTTTGAAGATGGATTCTCTAGATGAAAAGACTGAGGGTTCGCTCTTTTCTTTCCTTTCGTCACTGAAGACCTGAGAAGGGACTGTAAAGTCCCTGTGGACACTAGTTAGCCCTCCATTAAGCAAGCTGTGTGTCATCAGTTATCATATTTAAACCAATCTCTTGCTGCTTTGAATAAGAGTTAAAAACATACTTTGATGCATTAAATAGACCTACCTTAGGGGAGGTTTACTTCATAATTGAACACAATAGATTTCTAACTTGAAAGCTACTGCAGGCTTTCAAGTATTATTTAAATTGTCCTAGACACAAATTACTCATAAAATTGAACTGTCACTTCATAGCAGAATGAAAATTAATATGCTCCTCTTGATTCCTGAACTTGAGCATAAATTCCCTTATGCAAAACACTCTGGAATTTGGAGAGCTAAGATCAGAATCTTTTTCCTCTGTTCCATGTCATGTCTTCTGTCTCGTGTGGTAAAAGGCAAAGAAAACAAGCTATCAGTAGTAAGCAGAATGAAGAAATAATGTTTAGTCAGGCCGTAACATCACTTTTTTTCCTAGATCTTTAACTGTTAGATAAATAATTTGAAAAAGACAAAAAAAGAAAAAACTGACTCATATTTGCAAACAGAAAATACCAGAAAAGGAGATAAATGGCTGCCCAAATGGCCCCAGGACATAATTGTTTTTAAGGGAGGGCTGCAGTCCTCCATAAGCTCTTTTCAGAATCTAGACCATCACAAACACATAGGAGACTATTAGACTAGGCGCTAAATTTTGTCCATGGTTAGCAAACGACATACAAAAAACTAAACTGCTCCCTTGAAGTTGAAATCAAAGAGTGTCATGAGCAGCCTTATGTATTTCTGAATGGGAGAGAACACACATGTGTGATGGAGGCAATCCAGAGAGAGGCGCACTTCCCAGAGGCTGTTTTAAACAGTGACAGATTACAAAATCCTAATGTGATATGTTGGAGCATGAAACACACACACACACACACACGCACGCACGCACACTTGCTTGTAAAAAACCCTGCTGAAATCTTTAAAAAGCCAAAGTTTAGAAGAACACGTGCTATGGATGCACCAACAGTAATTTCAAAATCACTCTGTTTGAGTCCACTCCTCACCTCTTTTATCACTTTGACACACTCTTTAGGAAATAACAGAGAAAGAGAAATATGAAACTGAAGACAGAAAATTTAATTATAAAACAAAGCCACCCACCTTGCTTTCAGGGTCAGGAGATACAATAGCCTTCTTTTGCAGCAAGAATGAACTTAACACCCGTGTGTTAAATGATCACTTATCTATTTAAAAGAAAAGGAAATGTTTTTTTAAAAGAAAGCTATCACTCAGTCCTTCTCACTGCAAGTCTTACCAAAAAATAAAATAAAAGCAGTGTACTGTGGCTCTCTGGCACAAGGCACAAGGCAGAAAGCCGAGTCCTTAAGTCACTTTTCCCCTGTTTCGCAAGACAAAATAAAACCAAAAGCCAACAGCAAAAGGTGTTTGGCAGGTGGGAAAGGGTCTTAAAACACCTTGTGCCCTCCTGGGTCCCTCCCAATGCCTTCAGTGTGGGCTGTGGAAGCAACACCGCTCAACACCAATGTCACCATCGGCTGTTTAAATGCCACAAAAGTACACTTAGAAATGAGAGGAAAGTGGGGCCAGGCGCGGTGACTGACATGGATATGTACAGCCAGCCTCACTGCCACTAGAACAGCCTTAAATGCCCACACAAGGAGAATAAAAAGAAAAGCACATTTTGCAATAGAATGAATTCTTTTTTTTTTTTTTTTTTTTTTTATTGAGACCGCGGAAAGTCACATGACCCTGCATGTAGCCTTTTAGGAAAGCAACCGAAATGGTAAAGCCAGGAGCGGGGGCTGCCTGCTTCCTCCTGCAGCCTTTCAGCCCGTCCTGTCGCGCGTCCACATTCTTCTGGGCGCATCTGTGGAGCTATTAAGTGGGATAATCCCTCTGGCCTTTGATACATTTCTGGACATGATTATTTCATTACTCGCAGTATATCAGTAGGATCATAATAAAAAGGACTTCTGACAACCTGCCAAGAGTTTTGTGGCCTTGTAAACACAAAAGTGCTCTAATAAAATTTTATTAAGTGTTAAAAAGTCATAAAAAGTGAAATAACATAAACTACAAAATTTACTGTCCTCAGCAAATGCTGAAAATATCTTCCACAGTAAAATTAAATTAGCATGTAATAGACAGAGAAGCAGTGTGGAGCGGATTTAAAAGAGGATCCAGGGAAAATGACACTGTAACCCAATCAGGGTCACGGGGATTTAATTCGGATTTTCCCCCCTAAATGTGGATAAATGTGCTGATTACAGACGAGAGCTCGGGGGTTACTGGAGTCTCACACATTGTCAATACTTCGGAAGGAATAATATATTGCAGATTGTAACCAGCACGGTGAGCCGGCGAAAGGCAGGGTGTCCACTAGAGCGCGCTGAGAGACCGGGAATCCCCGCAAGGCCACCCGCGCCCGCGCCGCCCGCCGCCCGCTACCGCGCGCACGCCGCGCCCTCACCCCGCTCCAAATCATATTTACAGTTAAGTTTTTTTTTTTTTTTTTCCGCTCTCGCCCGTGACATTTTCTCCAAATCGGAAGAAAATGAAGTATAAGTGGAGCTTTGCCGCAGGCAGCCCTCGGTCTCCGCTTTCAGATTCGGGGTCCGGGAGCAGAGCTCCCTGCCCGCGGCGGTGCTAAACTCGGGGTACAGTGTGTGGCCCTCAGCGAGCGCCCTGGGGCTGACCGGCCCGGCGAGGGATGCCGAGGAGCCGGCAAGGCCGGCGTCCGGCTCTGCGTGGGGCGCGGGTGCGATCCAAAGGCCGCGGGCCACCGGCCTCGCCGCGGGTTCAAGTGCGTCCGGGTTTGGACGCCGCGGCTCCAGGAGTGTGCTCTCTCTCCTGCCCATCCCCTCCCCGGAATTCAGCGTATCCGCGGCTCCGGGGACTCCTCTTCCCGGCCCTCCCAGCCGCGCTGGGCCGCCCGCCTCGGGCCCGACCCAACGCGCCTGTCTCCAGTTCCTGGCCAAGGCGCGAGGACGCGAGCGGGCACCGGGTTCCCGCTTCTCCCAGGCCACGATCCCGGCCCACGCACTAGGCTCCCGCACCCATCGTGGAGGCTCCGCCTGGAAAAGAAGTTCGACTTCCTCCCCAAGCTGCTCCGAGGGGAATCGGAAATCGGCAGGAAATGACCAGAACTGCCAGCCTGCGCCTTTGCAGCCGGCCCTCGCTTTTCTGAAGACGAGCAGCTCCCACCAAAGTCTTGCCTCCCCCTACCCCGAAAGCCCCGCTCAGGTTTGTAAAGAGGGGTGCGAGATCTGAAAAGCATTTGTCTTCTAGGGAGAGAGATGTTGGTAAGGGGCCCAGTGAAAGACGGGTCCTTTTTAGCTCATGAACCCACCACGTCTTGCTTTGCAGCTCCAAAATGATGCCAGCGCTGCTGTCCTGAGGGTCAATATTAATGCGTTAAGTGGAATGGGAAATAAATGGACAGTGGCACATTTCGTGGCATCATTTTTATTAGGGGGATGTCCAAAGTTTTAAGCTGCATTTAAGAATTAGCCACATCTTGCCAGAAAGTTAATATTTTTTGATAAACTTGTTAATAAAGCCTAGAAGAGGTAAGTTAAAGTTAGTTACCACGTAGATCCTCCAGTCACTTGTAGAAACTTGCACAGGTTACTAAGATGAGGACGACTTGTATTTTTTATTTTCTAGACTAAGTGCAAAGGCATTGAGTTTTGAGGTGGCAAGGTTAATGTTCAAGGACAAATGGAATAGCCAACGATCTCTTGAAAAGCATTCGCTTGCTATTAATACGTAAGGCTGAAATAAATAGAATTAATTTACAGTGGGAATTATATGCCCATGTTTTAGACTTTTTTGTTATATTAGCTATATGAAAAGGGATGCTCTTTAGTGATTTTTTAAAAAACCCACCTGTTTGTTGTCATTTGCAATTTGAAATAGCCGACAGCAGTAAGGCTAGCTAAAAAAGCTAACAAGTCAACTTCAGTGTGGTCTGACATTTACTATCAAAGCTTTGAACGCTAAGAAAAACAGAATTTAAAAGAATGCATATAAATAATAAAATTTCATTGTGACTCAATGTCTCTGCTCCTGGAGAAGGGACAGATGACACTCAGTGACTGACTTGGAACCATTCCCCCTGCAGATGCATTTGTGGATACAGTGGGTCAGGGCTGCCTCTGAGTATGTACAGCAAGTGCTTATGAACTTACAGAAACAAATGTTTTACTATCTAGGATTTTCTCAATAGTTT